TCCAACTCAAAAAAAAAAAAAAAGAGTTGGAGTCTCACTCTAACGCCCAGGCTGGAGTGAGTGGCATGCTCCCGGCCACCACAGCCTTGACCTGCTGGGCTCAGATGATCCTTCCGCCTCAGTCTTCCAAGTAGCCAGAACTACAGGCACGATACCATGCCTGACTAATTTTTTGGTATATTGTAGAAATGAGGTCTCACCATGTTGCCCAGACTGGTCTCGAACCTGTGGGCTCAGGCAATCCTCTTGCCTCGACCTCCCAAAGTTCTGGGATTACAGGAGACGAGCCACTGCACCCAACCATGAATCATATATTTCTAAAGGACAAGTGTAAATTATGGTTGGACATCATATCTAATATTCAAAGATATCTTTAAGCAAAGTTAACTTGAAATAATTAAATTTATAAATTCTATGACTATTAAAGTATTTCTGTAATATATATATTAAAATATATTTCTGTCTGTGTATACTTGCAACTAATAAACAAATAATGTAAAATATCTTAAAGCTGTTCTTCTCATACTTTTTGGTCTCAAGATCTCTTTACATTGTTAAAAATGATTGAGAAACGTAAAAAGTTTTTGTTTGTGTGGGTTATAAATGGCCATGTCTACTATATTAAAATTTAAAACAGAAAAATGTTTGATATGTATTTGTTTATTTATTTATTATTTATTTTTTTTTTTTTTTTTGAGTTGGAGTCTCACTCTGTCACCCAGACTGCCAGTGGCCGCTCCCGGCCACTGCAGCCTTGACCTGCTGGGCTCTGGCGATCCTTCCGCCTCAGCCTTCCGAGTAGCCGGAATTACAGGTGCGCGCTACCACGTCCGGCTGATTTTTTGATTTATTATAGAGATGAGGTCTCACTGCCCAGGCGGGTCTTGAACCCGCAGGCTCAGGCAATCCACTCACCTCAGCCTCCCAAAGGCGCGGGATTACAGGCTGAGCCACCGAGCCCGGCTATTTATTTATTTTAAACTCATATGTTACTGTAAAGATCATTTTTATGAATGACTACATTTTTAAAAACTAAGTGAGAAAAGTGGTGTTTTCACATTTTTTTGCAAATCTCTCTGCTATCTGGCTCAATGGAAAGAGCTGGATTATGATATTCCGCTTCTGCATTCAATCTGTTGAATACTTAAGACGGGAAGAAAATCAGACCTTGTACAAATTCCTGGTTGAAAAAGGGAGGACCTTGCAAAGTCCCTGAAGGGGTCTTAGTAACACTTGGGGGTCCTCAATGAGAATTACATAGTGGGGGTCCCCACAATGAGAATTACTGCCAGATAGCAATTTGCATTTAATTTCTTGAATGTCATGTATTCTTACACAGGAGGCTGCTAACACCTAAAATTATAGCCCTTCACTTATTCAAAGCTAAAACTCAAATCTATGGCTCATATCAGACCCTGACATTTCTAAAACTATTTCAAAGATTTTACTCTAGCAGCTCTGATGAAATTTATATTCTTATTTGAGTTGATATGAAAGCATTTGAGATTTTATTTATATCCCTCATTTCAACTATTTTGAGAAAATTTGAATATAAATGATACCATCTGGGAAAATGAAACACTGGTATATAGTTATTAAATCCATTTTAGGTATACTTATAATAAACGATGTACATCTCCTTTTATCAATCATTTAAAAGTAAGCTTAAAATAAAAATTTTAAAGCAGTTACAGTTTTATTTATTAACTAAAAAACACTTGGTTCTAAAGTTACTGCCTTAGAATAAAATTTTAGATATGTAAGCTTTCATTTTTATAACAAATAAAATAATGTCAGTCGTCCAGTTTTCAAATACAAATTTCAACTAAAATAAACCAATGTAACAGGCTAAGAAGTGACTGTTTTGGTTATTTAAAACAACCAAAATAAAAATTTTAAAAAGGCAAACTGTTCTGAAGAAAATAGCAGCCTGTAAGAAATGAAAAAGTTACATGTTTCTGAAAAGACCTTCAAGAGATAAGAGACTCAAAGGAAACTCCTTGAAACCCTTAAAGTGTACTCATTTCTTTAAATGTAATCTCTTTTGTGGTATTCAGCTTAAATTCATGTCTTATGTAATCATTGGTTAGGTCATATGTGAAACAGAACTTGCTATTATAACTAAATAGAAAAGACTCAGTTCGGGATTGTTTTAAAAAATAAGACTAATAAAGTCTAGACAGAGGTTTATACCAGTAGGTGCTGAAAAGACTAAATACTGATTTAAAAGGAACTTTGTGTATGGTCATGAGACATGTAGACACTGTTAATCAATAGTTTAAATAAATAAAACATTGCCTGTCTTAGCTATAAAACTGAATGTAAAATTTGCATCAGCAAACAGGTTTTTTGGTCAATACCCAAACCTGTTCCCTGATTTCCAGTTTTCAGAATAAACACCCATTTTCTCCCAGCTTCTGCCCTTCTCTCTCTGACCACAAGCAATAGCAGCTAATTGATTGATCAAGCTCTAATATCAAAGCTGCCCAAGGGAGTGTCTGACTTCAGGTGTGGGATATATACCAGATGAGAATACGATAACTTGTACCACAAAACAAGGAAACTATTAACAACAAATAAATGTATCAAAGGGACACAGAAAGCAACATTAAGGAGCTTTTTTGGCCAAAGATGGGATAATTTAAGGATCAAAAAAAAAATAATGAGCCAGGCTCGGTGGCTCAGCCTGTAATCCCACGCCTTTGGGAGGCTGAGGTGAGTGGATTGCCTGAGCCAG